ATAAACAATTATTAAATAAGATAATTAAAAGTTTAAATTAAATAAAATAGAATAAAAAAGAAAATTTAAATTTGAATTAATTATAAATTTATCTAATTATCAGGAAGAGTAATTTAACTTAATTTTAATCGATAAAATCCTATCTCACATTCTGTGACGATCCTGAACATTTCTCCATTACAGTTTCAATCAGGATTTACGAGCTTCTTGAATTGCTTCTTGATCCAAACATAGTGAAAAACTAGTCAAGATCTTGAATACTTTTCCATTACACATTTCTATAAGGATTCTGTCCTTTCTTCAGGAAAAGAGTGTAATTCCTGATGAAATCCTTGCAGGATCTATCGAGAATCTGGTGCAAAAACACTAAAACTTCCCATTAGGATTGCTAAAGTTGACTACATTCAAGCAGTTGTTCTATTTTCACGAAGCGAAAACTTTTTCACATTCATCTAGAGATTTGTTTTCTCCTGCAGATTTTCAGCAGAAGCATCACTTGAGCCTTTAGCCCAGTAAATATTCTCAACATTTCAGCCCCTAACAGTGACTCTTCTGGAGGAGATTGCTGAAAACTGAAGCTTTTCGAAAAAACTCCACTGCTTTCAAAGCCACATACACTCATATAGTTGTGAGATTTTCGCGAAGCGAAAACTTTTTTGACGTTATCATAGAATTCTTTTGCTGAAAACAGTCACTTGACTCTAAATTTAGGCAAGGAAATCAGCTAGACTCTACATATCGTATCAAAAACTTCTATAGTTTAGCGACAGCTATACGACAATTTTCGACGATTGGGGATCACTCCCCACACTCCCCAGCTTTGGGCAGCCCTTCTTATATCAATGATATACAATTAAAACCAAGTCAATAAATGTAAAAAAAAGTCGCTGAATAACCTCTTTCATAACACACTCGCACAAATCAATCAATCGAGCGCATCTCGAGTCAATGATAGCATATATCCAACATCGTTCATCACTATAGTAAATGAACTACGATAGAGCAGTTGATGTTGTTTCCTAATCGCCCAAAATGTATCCAAATATTTCATCGAGCATTTCTGCTCGTGTTAAACCCGATGTTATTTCTTCGTCATTTGCTTGTTCATTAAGTGATGAAATCAATGATGCGATAAGGCTTTTCGGTCGTTGAATTTGAAATAAACTTTAATCAATTAGCGTGGTATCCAGGGAATTCGCATAATACGTGATGCTCGAAGAACAAAATCTTTTATTATTACTTTTAATGATGAACCTATCACTAGAGATCTGCGGGACAAACTTTTTTGTGTCCTGTCCCGATTGTTCCGCGGGACAAGACACGGGATTTTTCGGGATTTGGGACTGTCCCGCAGTGCTCTATTTTTTTCTATATTGTCCCGATCCTGTTTGTCTCGTCCCGAAAAATTTTCGGGACAATCCCGATTGTCCCGCAGTGCTCTACCTATCACACTATCGAAATCATAATTGAATTCAATCAATGCAATAATATCCATTATTAAGAGTGTGCTCAGATAAACCGAATACTCTAGTGGATATGGATGAGAACCGAACTAAAAATGTAAATTTGTCACCACATTGACATTAATAATCGATCATCATCTCGTGCGAAGCTAATTTACCTATCAATAAATCTGAATTGATTAATTATTGAAAACAAAATCTGGGGTTCGGTTCCAGATGGATCATTAATCGATCGCCAATAGCGTTTTTTCAAACATTTATAGATAAGAATAATAAGGTGCAAAATGAGACTACCGAATAGAAGGCCAAATGAAACTGCCATGTGCGTTTTTTACATGACTTAGGGAGAAAATTTCTTTTTTCTCTAAGGTACACATGTTATGCAACTGAATGAGAACGAATGATAATCACTTTGAAGCAGAGGACTACGGTATACACTCATGAAAGATATGAATAGTAAAGATCATGTTACACTTTGAGTTATAGTCCAATCAAAAAAAGAGAGTTTAAATGTATTTATTTGCATCTAAATATATTTCTCTACCATATCTGCAGGATAGATGTGAGTGTCGAATGAATATAAGAAAGTTCTCTACCTATACACCGATGGAATGATTTCTTTATATAACCATTCGGCACTTCGAATAGTGGATTATGAAGAGGATTAAGTTCTTGTAAAAGATTCGAAACAAAAAACTTCAAAAAAACAATCTGAATAAGCTATGTATGTTTTTTTCACTTTTATCCATTTCTAAAATAATACGATTATTTTTCGCATTTAGTGGCATTCGTAAATCGAGCGAGTGTGTTTCAATATTTGTTTTGAGCTTAATAAATATAAGCTGAATTTCATGTCAATATTTAACAGTGAAATAAGAGGACGAAACAGAATGATGACTAATATACGTTTTTTTGTAAGTATATTTAAAGGACGTCAAACTCTAATAACCTTGCACAGCCAAAATAAATTTAAATTTATAATACGATTATTTTTCGCATTTAGTGACATTCGTAAATCGAGCGAGTGTGTTTCAATATTTGTTTTGAGCTTAACAAATATAAGCTGAATTTCATATCAATATTTAACAGTGAAATAAGAGGACGAAACAGAATGATGACTAATATACGTTTTTTTGTAAGTATATTTAAAGGACGTCAAACTCTAATAACCTTGCACGGCCAAAATAAATTTAAATTTTCTATTTCATTTTTGCGTCACTTAGTACGTTGTTTTAGAAAAACAAAATATACTACAAGATGCTGCGTGTAAATCAGTACAATATACAAAGAACAACTTATTCTGTAGTTCCACTTTTTGTTTTCAAAATGAGCAAAATTCTGAAGCACTAATTTTCGAAATTTCGAAAAAAAATGATCTTTTTCGTAGCGTCGAAAATTAGCCGCACAAAATTATGCCCATTTTGAAAACAGAAGAGACAACTAGAGAAATAGCTGCTGTTTGTAAATTGTAGAGCTTTTCACGCTGCATCTTGTGGTGTATTTTATTTTCTTTTTATTAAAGCATATAACGCGATAAAAAGATAAAATAAGAAAAAGACAAATTCGTCTTATACGAAGAAGATCATTTTTTTTCGAAATTTCGAAAATTAGTGCTTCAAAATTTTGCTCATTTTGAAAACAAAAAGTGAAACTACAGAATAAGTTGTTCTTTGTATATTGTACTGCTTCTCACACAGCATCTTATGATATATTTTATTTTTCTAAAACAACGTACTAAATAACGCTAAAATGAAATAGAAAATTTAAATTCATTTTGGCCATGGGAGAATCCATTGTAATTTGTCAGTAGCTTATTAACGACGGTGGGCACTCATTTCGTCCCATTAATTTTCGTCCCCTTACACTACATCCCACTCATTTCGTCCCATTAATCTTCGTCCCCTTACACTACATCCCATTCATTTCGTCCCTCACTCATTTTGTCCCTTTTCATTTCGTCCGAAATTCATTTTGTCCCTTTTCATTTCGTCCGAAATTCATTTTGTCCCAGTGTCATTTCATCCCATACACTTCGTTCCAAACTCATTTTGTCCCGTTACACTTTGTCCTATCAGATAAGTTGTTTCTGACGATTCTACTTAATATACAATGTCGTGTACTATGATCTTCTACGTTTAATATATTAAATAAAATGAAGAATGAATAACAGTTTAAGAGTTTAGTTTCACGTTAGCAGCCACACGGGCCAGATCTTGAGGGTGAGGATCACAGCTTTCGCATCGAAAAATACGTTTTTTATCAGTCAATCGGTGTTGCATGTACACGAACCCACCATGATACACAATCGGATTTCCTCTTTTACTCTTCAAAATTTCAATATCACCCGTCGGTCGTATAGATAGCAACACTTGATTAAATCAGCAGTTATCGGGATAGTGAGCGCGCAGACGCAAGTGTGGGTGAGGTTGCACGAAAATCTTGATACAGTTAATAAATCCTCATTAAATAAATAAATCCTAATAAATCCTATAGAATAAATGAATCACAAAAAAAAATAAGTCCTGGTAGCCCTCGATTAAATAGCAAAGAACAATTTTACGTGGTGAACAAGATTTGAGTGTGATTTTTTTTTCTTCTCTGTTTCTCTTTCGTTAAAGTTAACTAATCATATCAAGAGGGAAGTAGGAACAAATTGTAGAGGAACATAGTGTATGGGACAAAATGAGTTTGGGATGAAATGAAAAGGGACAAAATGAGTGAGGGACGAAATGAATGCGACGTAGTATAAGGAGACGAAAAGTAATGGGACGAAATGATAGGGTGCCTTAACGACGATTTGCATTCGTTTGAATCATTATTCAAAGGATTACTTTTGTCTCTTTTTACTTAGTATTTTGGATATTGGCGAAAATGGCCACCCATCAAACAATTACATTAGAAACTCTTAGCAATGAGTTACTCTTGATGATTCTGAAGAACTTAGATTGTTATACACTTTATTATAGTGTTTATGGTCTCAATAATCATTTTCGATCATTGGTTCTGGAGTGCAACAACTTGACTCTTGCTGTTTTGGATCGTGGCAGTCTACATGATTATTATCAGCATCGCGAGATTGATATCCAAGCATGGAAACGACTAATTGAAAATCTTCAACCTAACCAAGTTCGTTACCTTATTTTCGACATCATAGAACCGGAAAAAGCTAAACAAAATGATCCGCTGTCTTGTTACTATTCCTCGCAGTTATCATCGATTCCTGATGAGTTTTTCGATTTTTACAAACCAGATTGTTTCACATCTGTAGAAGCAATATGTATAAAGAGAGGCGAAGTTCGCAAGATTCTTGATGGTTTGCCATTCAATAAAATAAAATATTTTGAATTAGATACGACACATGGTGAAAGTGCTTCATGGGTATTGAATTATATGGATCAGTTCGATCTAACGAACTTGATCTATTGTTCACTTCCCAGACTCTGGTTTGGCACATTTAGTATTCGCTTTGTTCTATACAATCTCTGCTATTTAAAACTGGACATAGGCCCTTGGTCACTCGACATTGAAAAATTTCTCATGGAATGTACACCAAATATTCGTTTTCTTTCACTTCGCTTATCTCGTATTGTACGTGACAACGAGATCGTCAATAGTAAACAATTTAACACGCCACATTTACGCAGTCTTCAACTTATTGCTCATGATGTGGATTTTGAAATAATCGTTAAATACATGGCAATATTTCGAAAAGTACAACAGTTGCGTGTAGAAACTGGGTCATTCCTACCAAACGGTTTGAAATGGAAAGAAGCATTGGCAGGCAACTATCCGAATCTCAAAGATTTTGTTATCCAGTACGACTGCGATTCGAATAGTGGAATTGCTCACACATTCAATACCATGTTTTGGAAGGACAAGAAAACGACGAAACAACGTGATTATAAAATAGTCAAGGAATATCGTGGTTATGAAATAGTCAACAAACGTCATGATTATTATGAAACTTTATGGTTTGGTGAAAATTGGCAATTTCCTACGTGGTTATCATTGACTAGAAGCACATAAAAATTGTATTTGAGTTTTTGTTTGAAACACTTCAATAAACAACATTGATCATAGTCTCTGACAATTATCAAAATGTATTAGCTAGATGTCTCACATAGATCAATATTCATTCGTAGTTCGAATCATTTTACATTTTTAATTCATTTACATATGCTTTTCTATAGGTTGCAAAAGTCAATGTTGTTCTTTTAAGCACACATGTTTTCTAAAACTGATGTTTTGTTTCAAATTTCAGTTTTGGTAAAAAAGGCATGGGTGAAGGTAAGAATCACACCTTCGATAATATTCGACATGTTGCTGCTCGTATTTTGCAGTTCTTTCTTTTGTTCTGCACTTTCATGTTCTTGTGTTGATTCACACAAATCATTTACTGTCGTTATCTTCATATCAAAAAGCAAAAGTTGAGTTAATAAATGTCCACATAATTTCTCTTTCTTGATTTGATTTTTCAAATAAGCGTAAAAAAATGTTCACGGATGGGGTATCGAAGGACACGCACTGGTTGCGCATCTAGCCGAAAGTCAATTGACTACGGAGGCAATCGAATAGGTTAAATCTCTTCTTCCTGGGTTTCTTTCTGATAATTTAACAGGCGCAGCTTCATGGGCTGACGATATTATTCACGATAATTCCAATCATTTTGACTATCGAAATTGGCACTGGTCTCGACCTTTGTGCTACGTTAATTTACCTGATTGGGTTTGCAATTACGATCCGCAACGAGATTCCAAGAATGATACTTGTGTTGACGGTGCAATAAGAAATTATACACAACATGTTATCGCTGCAGATCTCGACCAAATACAACATTAAGAAGCACTCATGTTTCTTATTCATTTTGTTTGTGATCTTCATCAACTGTTACATGTTAGCTTTGAAGGAGATTTGGGTGGGAATAAAGTGAAAGGTAAGAACAGATTACTACGTCGAATAATATTGGCATGAATGCTTTTTTGTGTTTGTAGCATTTTTCACAAGGGGGAACAAACTGATTTCTAGTTTAGAAATCAACTGGAAATCACTGGAAATCACTGGAAATCACTGGAAATCACTAGAAATCACTAGAAATCACTGGAAATCACTAGAAATCACTGGAAATCTCTGGAAATCTCTGGAAATCACTAGAAATCACTGGAAATCGCAAGATGATTTTCTGGTGATTTCTAGTGATTTCTAGTGATTTCTGATGATTTCTGGTGATTTCTAGTGATTTCTGGTGATTTCTAGTGATTTCTGATGATTTCTGGTGATTTCCAGTGATTTCTTTGATTTCTCTGATTTTCAGTGATTTCTAGTGATTTCCAGTGATTTCCAGTGATTTCCAATGATTCCTATGATTTCTGACGATTTCTGTTATTACAAACCAGTTTTTTGACCCTTCCGAGAAATCACCAGAAATCACTAGAAATCACTAGAAATCACCAGAAATCACTGGAAATCACTAGAAATCACCAGAAATCACTGGAAATCACTAGAAATCATAGAAATCAGAAATCAGTTTGTTCCCCCTTGATTTTTCATGAATAATTCACGCGAAACCAATCTTCGTTCGCTTTGGGATTGGGTGGGTGTGGGTGGGCGTAGATGTGTGGGTGTGGGTGTGGGTGTGGGTGTGGGTGTGAATGTGGGTGTGGGTGTGAATGTGTTTGGGTGTAGGTGTGGGCGTCGGGTGTGGGTGTGAGGTGTAGGGAGAGGTGTGGATATAGATCACCTTCTGAGTTAAACTCACTTCTACACCCACACCCACCCGCACCCTACCCACACCCACACCCTTTTAACTTCCTGGGTACCAAAGAAATACCTTTTCGATTTCGTATTTTTTTACAATGGTATCAACATATTCTTGTATCTTTCTAATGAGCATTGAATTTTTCAAATGGACAATAAATGACATTGAATTTTATTAAAATCGACAGGTTGTTATATTCGTTTAGCAATTAAAGTTATTGTTATCACTTTTACATTGATATTTAAAGCTTTGTGGTTTTTCATTCATATAATTATTCCTTACATGTATTTTGATGGTAAATATACTAGAATAGGGAACAAAATAAGGGATAGAATAAGGGATTAGATTAGAGGGTTAGAATAAAGAGATAGAATAAAGGAAGGCATATAGATTGAGGACTTACATTAGGGGTTAGAATAAGGGGTTACACTAAGGTGACAGATATAGACTGGTGAGTCGTTTTGTGGGTAGCTGCTGAACAGCTATAGTACGTTTTTGAAGCCTCGGAAGCCTCCACTACGTTTCCGGAATCTGGAGGTGTTTTGGTTGCTTTTGAGAGTTTCTGAGAGCTCGGAAACCCTTTCCCAGAAACCTATAACGGGTTTCATATAGGGACAAACCCGGAAACCTTCTATAGGTTTCCGAGAAAACGGATTTTTTTTAGAGTGTATAGGAAGCTATGAGGTAACTCATATGAAAAGGAGTGGCGATGGTAGGTTGAAATTAATCTAATATCCAACAAAAAGACTGAGAAAAACCTTAAAAACTCAAAATAGCCCGAAAAATCGGAACATCCAAGAAAATTCGAAAATCCAAAAAATCCAACAAAATCCGAAATAATCTCAAAATCCCAAATCCACTTTTTCCCCCTTGAATGCAACGCTGTGCTGAATACGTTGCATTGTTGAGTGGAAATGAGAATACTGTGTGTATATCTTGTAGTTTTCTATGGATTTATCGTCGATAAAAAGAGACTAGTGTGTATTCATGGTGAACTTTCGAATAAATCTATCATTAGTTTGGCCATAAACACCCTTGTATCTAACGATTAAAATACTATTCTGAAAAATCTTTTTAACAGAAAATGTTGATAGATTACATTTTCAAATGACACTTATTCTTATTTCTTATATGCTGTTGTATGATAAAATATGTTGTTTCTTTCTCTATAAATTTTTTATTTAATTTTCAGATTATTGTATTGTAGTGCCCACAGTTTCTTCTTCTCCTCAGTAACTACAAGTAACGCAGCGCAAGCACTGACAACCATCTACTGAAAGGATGAGTCGCATTTAGGCATGCACAAAACACAAACTCAAACCGTTTGGGAATTTGGGTTTGGGTTTAGGTATTGAGTTTGGACTTCATTTATGTTTAGTTTGTATAATATATGGAAGTAGGTATTATCCAAATAGTACATTCTAATGTTTATAATTATATGACTGAGAAGATATAACTCATCATTGCCTATAATAGGTGGTTACTCAAAACTGCTCATGACCTATCCTAATGGGTGACCATAACTGTTCATAGACTATTCTGAGGTACACATAAGTCTCGTTTTGCTATCCACAGTAGCATCCGTTACTGTGAATGAACTTTGGTTAAGAGGTGTATAAGTCCTCAAGACTGACCATTCGAAAGGAGGAAAGAGGAGGGGATAGAGTACGAGTAAGTAACTATAATGCTCCGTGAGCTATCGTACGGGCTGCTTCTGTTTCTTACGGGGATTTGATAAGGTACATCGAAGTTTTGACAGAGTTTAAAAAGAATCTCGTAAGTCTCGCGTGACTTTCGAGGATTCAGCTTTTTGAGGTTAAAGACCTGTTCTGGGTGGATCCTATAGTTTTCTGATAGGTAATTAGGAATTCATGGTTCGTGTTGTTGGGAGATTGCTTTGACTTATATTGTGAAACTCACAGGTATTTTCGAAGAAAATAATAAGCGTAAGTTTTAAGTGTTTGGTTTTCAGACTCCTTCTCCATACCCATTATGGAGAGGCCTTCATTTCAGACAGTTCCTCATTACACATTTTAAGAACTAATGAGAAAAAAATAAGTAACATAATATTTTTTTACTGATCAGTTGTCTTGTAAAACAACTAAAATTTGCTACAGGTTTTGCAAGTTACGTATGTGTGTTAGTAGAATTAAGCTTGAGTCCATACATGAACTTCACGTTTCATTCTTGAAGTGGCTGCGCTAACAAGCATTTTTATCATGTTGTAACGGGTGTTTTTGTCTGGTGACCATAGCTGTTCAAGTCGCAGCTGAGGAATCGCCCGTATGTTTCCCACGTGTACCCCGGTGGCGTGCTGAGTATGGACATAGCCGACATAGCATGTGTAGAAATTGTTGGGATTAAACTCGTTTCGTTGTGTATAATGGGACTTGGACAGTAATTAGGTATGATTTGACATGTACTGGCTTTTTGGATAGATCAACAATGCTACTTAGGGTTATTTTTTGTCGATTTGGGTCTGAATCGGGAGATATTTAGTTCGAGTATGTGAGAATTACCATTTATCAACAGGTATAGTTTTTCCTTAAGCAGCAGACAGTTTAACGGAAAGCAGATATGAGAAACTTTGGGATACAATGACGTCGTCACAGAGACACTGTCTGAACGGAAAATCGAATCTTAAGATTTCAAGAATGGTAATGGCAGTGGTCAATCAAATGAAACTCTTCGAAACGTCTCTGATGTTTTTGCACTTTGCTTTTATACCATTGAACAGTTTTTGTGGAACTCACATATATTTTCGAAGAAAATAGTGAGTGTAAGTTTTAAGTTCAAGGTTTGGCGGCTCCCCTCCTCCCTATTACAGACACATAGTAACGTAAGGCCCCATTACAGACCTTAGCAATTAAGAATAACAGGCGTCAGCCTTTTTAGTTTTTTTCAAAAAATTGATCAAGTTATAGTTTTGAAAGATAATCAACATCATTGCTTGTGAGCTGATTAATATACATAATAGTGAGTGTGGGTGTGTGGGTGTGGGTGTGGGTATTCCTTTTGCCTTTAATCACATACATCCACACCCACACCCACACCCACAACCTACCCACACCAACATCCACCCATACCCACACACACCCACCCACACCCACACCCACCCACACCCACACCCACACCCACCCACACCCACACCCACACCCACCCACACCCACACCCACCCCACACCCACACCCACACTCACACCCACCCACACCCACACCCTCTTTTGAAAATAAATTAAAGGCAAAAGGAATACCCACACCCACACCCACAACCTACCCACACCAACATCCACCCATACCCACACACACCCACCCACACCCACACCCACCCACACCCACACCCAC